GGCAATACTGCATCAACTTACATAACCACCTTCCATACAATGGTAAAAACTGGAGTCATGAGCTCACAAAATGATTTGTATAATTTTATTCTCTGACAATCCTACAACACACAGATTCCTTAAAAAAAACCAAAAAAGTTCTGGATCAGATTAACCTTTTTTATTTCTGAACAAACTGCAAATTAGCAACCCTCATGCCAAGCTAGTAACTGAAGCTGTACAGTCCATTCTATGAAAGCCCAGTACAATTAATAAATTTAACTGTAATACAACCCAAGAAACTGGAGTGTTTTCAAGCACAGAACTAAACATTTACAGTATCTTGGTACATGAAAGCTAGCAGCATAGCTCTATGCAAGGTAATCTATTAAAACATCGATTCTCTTAATATGCATCAGCAGGTACACAAATTGACAGCCAACTATAGGGTTTGGAATTACTGTTGCAGTTCAACTGTTACAGCTAAGAAAAATTTTAAGCCATTTTCATCTAGTAGAGACACGTCTATAAATAACACTGAAGTGTAAAATCCAACTGCTTATACTTGAGTTAATATTTTTTCTACTATAGCAGGTAAGAATTTTTACAAGCAATACAGAAACTAAAGGAATTTCCTCTAGTGAGAAAGAACAAAATCTATTTCAGAAAACAAGATCCAAAACAGAGAGTAAGAACAAAGGAAATGTTCACAATCATTCTGGAGACTAACTAAATTATTCTAAGGCTTGAAAAGCCTAAAATCCAGTCTTATGTTTAGAAGGAGTATCTCACACACACACACACAGACCAAAGAAACAATTAGGGATTATTTTAGAAAATGGTACTTGAAAATTATACATCATTAACATCAATAAAAAATTGTGATTCTTGAAATTGGTTTCCTATGACGATATATTCAGAGCAACTATTTTTAGCAGCTCACCTCTACTGCAGTATGTAACAGAATTTACTGAAGCAACCAAAAAAGTCTAGGCAAAATAAAATCAAATCATAATGTTCAGCATTAATCCAGAAAGCAGTCGGCTGGAAAGCTGTCAGCTTTACACCCTGTCCACTCACACTGCCTCAGCACTGCCCAAACTTAATCAATACAAATCTAGCTGCTGTCTCATCTCTGTGAACTGCTGCTCCAGTAAGCCACTGTCATTCAGGTGTCTCTATTCACCAACACCATTCTCTCACTCAGTGTAATGTTGTTTTTTGGGGTTTCGTCTTTTTGGGGGGGGGGTTTTAGTTGGTTTTTTTTTCAAACAACACATTAAGGAAAATCATTAAGATGATAGTCAAGAAATTCTTGAACAAAAAAAATAGAGCAAGGGAAACACTAGCCATTTGGCCAGAGAAAAGTAACACTACTCTTCCCCTTTTTCTCTGAAGCACCTCCAGAAAAAAAGCCCACCCAAACTGAAATTTCATCCTTTCACTACCACGACTAAGGGGAAAGAAAAAAAACCCATGAAAAACTGAACAGTGTCAGAAACAGGCTTAAAATTCATACAGCAAAACTCCTTACTAATTTCAATATAGCAAGCCTCTGTATTCCTATAATGTCGACAAATAAATCAAACTCAATGTCTAGCACATAGGAAAAAATGCAATGCACAGATGATAAAAAGCAATTGTTTCCATATGTTTATGAAAGTCAGAAGTCTTAAAAGCATTTTGACAAACATTCCTGGAAACCAGTAAAATACAATTTTACCCCAATCTCCTTATGCAGACACGCAGAACTATAAAATTTATTAACAAACAGAAAGGCTGCCTCATCCTATGGCCTGTAACACCTCAAATGACACCTTTATACCACTGCAAAACCAAATTTCTGTTATTTTTATTTATCTTTAAGACAAATTATATTTCTCTAGACTATACATTTTGGAATATATCAACCTCTGCAGAAATGTGTGTGCTTCAGTAAAATACCCTCCCCCCCCAAATTAACCTCATGCTTATGCTATTCTTAACAGATTCATGCATATTTCTACACTGGGGCCACTAGATTATTTACAAAGCAGAAAACTTTACATGCTACTTGCATGGACAAAGTCACTTCACAACTCCCTACTTTATCTCCACATCAGGCAGGAATTTTAATTATTTCTGCATTAAAGTGATAAAACTGTTCATGATTTCCACAACTTTGATACTTTCTCTGAAAGGAAGCATTAAGAGATTTTGTTTTACATGTCAAGTATACGTTGTTGGGCTTTGTGTCTGGTTGTTTTGTCAAGTTTTTAAGTTAAAAGAGCATACACAGGCTTGCCTTTGAAGAGTTTTAAGCGTTAATTGTGTATGTTTATCATATAAAAGAAGCATACAGTTTTTTCAGCTGTTCAATGTCATGTTATCAATACATTGAAAAGTGTACAAATACCAACAATTTCTATTTACCTACTGCAAAAGGAAACCCCAATATTTGGGAAATCATTTTTCCTAACAAATTTCAATTGTTAGGAAAATATAAACTACAGAAAAACGTTTGCTGACTGTACCATGTTTTATCCTTTATCTCTTAAGCACCCTGGAAAAAACTACTTTTGGCAGGGTAAGGTTGTGCTATACATATTCTAATTTATCTTCAAGCACATCTGTAAATGATTTTATGTTCCTAATGTTTCCTGTAAACAGAATTTATGTAAAGGAAATAGAACTGAAAAATTCTCTCAACCCAACTACTAGGAAAAGACCCATCATGAATAGCAAGGGTTAAAAATGCAGCTGCTCTGCAGTATATTTATGGGCACACAGCCCACTTCATTCCCTCTTTCCTCTTTAGTCCTACTAAGATGCAGCTGAGATGACTTTCTAACCTTTAGCATCTCTTCGTGTATCCCATAATGCCCATAGGAGCTGAAGTAAACACCATCCTCATCCTCCTGAAGGTCTGCAATGGCGCTGGATGATGAGCTGCTCCCGACATCTGCATTCATCACAAAATCCTGTGTGAATCGCCTGCAATCAGTTTGAAATAGACCCTTGAGACATTGTTTATGGGATCATGGAAAGGAGGCGAGTGTGAGGAGGGGGAGAAGGGGCTTCAAGAGGCAAAGGACCAGGCTGCAGAGGGGCTGTGACAACAATGGGCCCCTCTTTGAGCAGGCACAACCTCCCTCTGCCGACTCCTCTGGGCTGCTGCACATGGATTTCCATCCACCGCCCTCCTGCAGTGATGCTTTCTGCTTCTAACCAGCAAAAACCAGCAGTGAAAGAGTCAGTCTTCATTTCTGGTTTTAAGGAGGAATTACCTTGTACCACAATGGTCAAAACGACATGTGATTTAGGCTGGGTAATGCAGATAGGGACTCAATACAAAGAGCACAAGAACTACAAACCATACAACACCATATGACTAGCAGAAGCTAGAACAAAGTGCTTTAAAACTGAAGCATTTGGGTGGAAACAAACCACAGCTTAAAATTCTATGTATTACTTCAATTTCATGCTGTTTCTTTTTGCTCCTTCTCGGCTTTGCATTCCTAACACACATGTTCTCTTCCCATTTCTCAAAGCTGTTTTGCTGACAAAATACACAAATCAAGGAGTCTGCCAGCTCTTGTGTTTTCACAATAAGCAAACAGCTCAAATTATACCCACAATGAAGTGAGAAAAAGCAAACATGCTCCAGCCACACAGTATTCCTGCAAGGTCTACAGTCCAACATCAACAGAACTTGCATCCTAGACTACTCCAAACCAGCCAAAGCTCAGCTTTAACAGTGGACATACTTCCTTAAATAGGAACTTAATGTATAGAAGGTGTAGGTAGCATCTCATTACCAGCACCTTCCTTACAGAACAACAACAAAATCAAACTAAACCACTATTTCAGTCCTGACATGTCAAATACTTCTCTGCTTAACTGGTTTGGATAGGAAAGAGACGGTGGTAAGGAAATTCATATTAAAAGTTTGTCAATATCAGAAACCTCCTAGTTTTGCTGACACACAAGTATGGTCTGGATCTTATTTTTAATATCGCTCTTTGCCAATACCGTTTGCTTTTTCCTGACTTTTAGAAAAATAACACAATGATAAAAATGGAAGCTTACAAAAAATAAACTCTATGACATACAATTAAGTATAATTATACTTTTTAAGATTTAAGCCCGATTTTAAATTCAAAATTATTTAAAATAGATTAAAGCCAACATTTTCTCCAGCCTGTGCACACCACACAAGTACCAAACGAACTCTAGAGGCAGAGCTTTTTTATAAAAAAAAAAAAACAAAACGAAAAAACAACCAACCCAAAAAAAGACATATAAACCATGCTCTTAAATCTCTAAATTACATCAAATGCTAAAGGTGACCTGATTTATAGCACTGTTAACATTTGGGGGGGGGGTGCGGACGGGGAGGGGAAGGGGAAGAGAGGGAGGAGAAACAAGAGGTCACTAGGCCTCCATCTCCATGCCTCTGCTTTGCACCCCTGTTTAATTCTCAGCATTCTAGAAGTCTATTCAAAGCTCCTGGACCTAGCTTTTTTGGTTTTTTAACTCTGGAAGATGGAGTCAGCCAACCAGCCTGCTTCATACCAGTATAAACCTATTTCCACGACTGTTGTGGTTTAAGCCACAGCATTGTTCTCAGACTACAGTCGAAAACACAGCACTGCACCAGCAACTAAGAAGGAGAAAAATAACTGTTACAGCTGAACCCAGGACAGTGACAGAAAATAATTTAAAAACAGGTTACTGTACATTAAGGTTCTGTACAGTATTCTTCTTCCACATCAGACTTCCAAGATATACTTATTTCGCAGAGGTCTGCCTGAAAGGAAACATCCTTTGATGGTCACTTTCAGTGGAGTAACCACCAGCATAAATCAGTATCACTAAGAATCATAGCATGTAGACTACTACAATGCAACAGGTTCATCTATCTAAAATTAAAAGCCATGCTGCTTCATCACATCTACATCTGGCTATTTTTACTGTCAGCTGATCCCTGCTGAATTGAAGAGCCTGTATTGACAAAGGAAAATTAAAGGCTGCCTTTTACAACAGCAGATAATTTGATATACTAACCTCAAAAAGAAATCTATGTAAGCCTAATCAGTTTAGAGCTGAAGAGAAATTGCAACTGCTTACTTGAAGAAGTTTTTTCTTTTATATGAAAAAGGGAACAAGAATACAAGACAACACACAGAAGAAAACCCAATTTTCCAAGTACAGCAACAAATTTCTTTCATTCTTATTATGATTAATTAATGTATAATGTACACAGATATCAAAAAAGTGCCGTAAGCTATAAAATATTATTTGCAAAAGTTAAACCCAGCTGAAGACAAAACTTCATTTTTTACAGGCATAATTGTTCACAGCTGATAGGATCTGAATACATTAATTTATTTTGGTATATTTAGTATCTAATAACATCAAGCATTTATTCTCAAAACATACAGTGAACCATCAAATGTATTTTACAAAACAAGGGTTTTGCCACCTGTCCACAAAAGAATATGAAGTATTCCAAGTCCCTTAAACTCAATTTCAGTTCTACAGTGCCCAATCAGTGTGATCTTGAAATGACAAGTTTGTACATGATTTATTCCTATGTGACCCAAAAATAAGTTTATATTCCCATTTTATCCATGAGCATCACCAATTCATATTTTGAAGACCTCAAGATTTAGAATTAGCATGTACAGCTATGGGGATGTCCCAGTTCCTGACTGCAGTGTACCAAATTACTAAAAGAATCCACACCTGAGACTGAAAATACAAGTAGCTGAGAACTTGGTTTATTAATTTCACTGAGGTTTTCTCTGAATTGTAGCTGGATTCTATGACTTACAATCATCGTTTAGAGACATTTCTGAAAATATTGAGAGTCGCATATTTAATTTGTCAATACTTCCCTCTTCTCTGTGGCGTACATCCTCAATGTTTAAATTTGTATCTAAAAGACTAATGGAAAAGTGAAAAACAGAGTGGTCTGAAGCAAAATACATGTTTCTGGGCCATATGGTTATTCAGCTTTCCTAAGTATACTTTGGTCTTTCAATCTGTGCAGGTTTTGTGCAGTCTTAACTAATCACCTACAAGATGTTTACTAATAATCCACTAGATAAAAGTCAAAACATATGCACCCAACAAAAGTCATGAGTTCTATTCCATAGTTACATTCTACCACTTTGAATTTCTGTTGGACTTTAAACATGAGCATCTCACGTGGAACACATCAAATTAAACACCAAAACTTCAGTTCCAACACTTACTTCATTTTTTGAAGATCCTCTTGTGCAACAGCCAAGGCTGCTTCTGCAAGTCTTGCTCTGTGTTCTGCGTGTTTTAATTTTTCAAGGAGCATTGTGTTATCATTTAAGTCATTAGAAGGCAACACGTTTTCAGGTTCACAAAGATCTTCTATATCTGATGAAATAGGGAGAAAAAAAATCACCTACCAGTCATGTGTTGCTTCATAGCAGCTCATAAACATATGATGTTTTCAGTGTTGCTATTTCTATCTTTGGCTGATTTGTAAAATTAGTCTAGTTTACAAGAGGCATCACTGAATTTGATAGGACTAACCAAAGACCACAATACTACTCAGTAAGAGAAAGTATGCTAGCAGCAAGATCTAAATTCACAAAGAATTCAGAATTAAATCCAGAATTCAACCTTCTTTAAATACCAGTGTTTGATTATTGATAAAAGAGACATTAAGTTTAGACTGTAATTTAGTTAATTACATTCCTATCCTCTATTTTCCCACTTACATTATTCTGAGATTAAAAGGGTTGTTAAGGGTAATAGTAAAAGGTAGGAAAGTATATCCATCTAAAATTTCTTAGTAATTAGTAACTCCTCATTTTTAAGTGAATTCCTTGGTGTTTTATAAAGCTTATAAACACACAGAACTCAAAAGAGCATAAGCAGCGTGAATCTAGATGAAACACTGCTTTTTAGCCTCCAAAACCTAGACTCAGCATTAGGTCCCATTCATCTCTTGCTAAATTCAGCTGGCGATTTTAACAGATGTCAGTGCATAAAAAAATGGTGCTACTGTGGTTTTGGATATAGTAAGGAGTTACTGACAGCTTACTAGGCAAAAGATTCTTGGGAAAAAAAATAAACAAAAAACCCCACACATCTATTCCTTTTAGTAATGAAAGGCTATTTGCTCGTGGGACTGAAACAAAGCACAGATACTTAAGACTTCTGAGGTTCACGTCTCCCCCATTACCCTTTTGCAACTGCAACAGCATCTCCAAAGCATACAAGCTTGACCAAAGAGCACACATTAGGGAGGAGCTGATACAGTTGGTTAGTGAAATCCCTAAATAACCAGCCAATGTCCTCTACCATACACTATCCCAGTGATCATGCAGCAGGGCTTGCTTAGAAGAGGGCAAAACTCATTCCAGATTGTACAGAGAATAAAAAAATATGCTAGCCTTAAGTACCTTGCAGTTTAGGTAAAACAAAAACGTACAATGAAGCATGAGATAGGAAGAAGGTGAGAGGATCATGGGCAGCTAAACTAAGTTCAAAAGTCAAACTAAATTCTCTCAAGACCATCTGATGAACTGTCATGAGAGAGAAACTAAGACTAGAACCACAAAAGAAGCAGAACTCTTCTATGCACCTATACTACCTTACGCTGGATTGGACCTGTGTAAGAGATGAAGATATTTTCAAAAGGAATTACTCACTCCTTACTTAGAGCATACATTTTTTAATAAATTATTTAAAAAACCTACATTTAGAAGTTTTAGAAGCTTGGTGAGATACTAGAACAGGCTGCCCAGAGAAGTTGTGGCTGCCCCATCCCCAGCAGTGTTTAAGGTCAGGTTGGATGGGGCTTGGAGCAATGGGCTCTAGTGGAAGGTGTCCCCGCCCATGGCAGGGGGTTGGAACTAGATGAGCTTTAAGGTCCCTTCCAACCTATACCAATCTATGATTCCCTAATGATCTTCCAATTAGGTTTGGGTGGAGTGCCTCTCTGACCTGCTTAGTTATTACATAGAGGACCTCCACTACGAACACCTTATCTACAGTAAGTGAATACAGATAACAGGACAGGGCTATGGAAATCTCAGTCGTTAAAAGCCAATGTATAATGTGGTAAAATTTTCAGGGTGTAACTTAATGTCATGACTTCAGCTAGGACGTGGATTTTCTCATTTATGTAAGTCAGTAATAGTGATGATGCTTTTACAATATGAACTCTGCCAACACCACATTTACCCCACAATGCAGTCCAGTCATACTGACACATATTTATTTACCAAACTGAAGGAGAAGATCATCTTCTAGCTCTGGTTTCAAATATTCTTTTCCTTCCCAGGGCAGTGGCCTGCTGAGAGAACTCAGATATGGTCCTGTTGGTTTCTAGACAGAAATAGAAGAGAATGTAAGCTATTTCTTCAAAAACACCTTCAATTTCATTCAACAAAATAAGGCAAAGATCTGTTCTTCCACACATTAAAATAAGCAGGGCATTATTAAAGCAGCTTTGTAGCAAAGGCTGAGAAAGATACTACTTTAAAGCATGACTAGTGGGAACAGTAAATAAATCAACTTCTGGCTTCCATCCTGGCTCTGACAACCAGTACTGAGCACACCACTGTGAGAGACTTAACTGAAATCAGACTCTACTGTCCACTGTCTCAAAGATTGGTATGAGAAGCTGAGATGGGACTCCACTGTCCACTGTCTGAGAGATGGGCAGGAAGAGCCAAGATAAGACTTCACAGTCCATTATCTCAAGGATTGGTGTGAGGAATTGCTGTCCATTATCTCAATAACTGCTGACAAGACATTTGCAGTTGAAGAGATGGCTGCAAGACCAGCAAAACCGGATGCACATGATCCACCAGGAACATGCAGTACATGACATTAAGAATAGAGCTACTCCCCACAACACATAATAAAGGGGGAAAAAGGTAATCGCTGTTGTGGCCACACACCTCTGATGATAAATACCGACCCTGGAAGACACTCACCACCAAAGACAATAACTATGGACCCTCAGGATGCTGCTGGATCCACTGCTGTGACTATCTTCCTGCACTCTGAATTCTTGCTTAATTTCTATCCTTTTTTCTGACCTGTCCTATCACTATCCTTTTTTTATAATAAACAAACAGATCAATTACAGTCCTTGACCTCGCTTGTGTCTTCATTTCACTCTGCGGATCACAAACGAAATATTTCCGACACTGGGTTTTTCTCCAGTTGGACCCTGACAACTGTCACTACAACCATAGTGACCAGAGAATAGTGTAAAACTACACCTATGAGCTAGTCGGGGTCCCAAAGGCCAGGAAGCTACAGGGTCAAAAGTTCAGTGTGAGCAGTAAGGCACAACAGATTGACAAATACTGAAGGATACTTGCAGGATCAAACTGCTATCAGGAACAAAGTTTATTCAGGTGCTTGCCTGTGTCAGACCTACAGCTTACAGCAGGGCTAATCAGTAAAGCCAAGATACTCATCATGCCAAGTGTTTTTACGCAAACAGCGCTGCAGTGACAAGCATCAGAAATGGTATATTCTCTCTGGCTTGCATCTGGCCAGTTAATACTTTGCCAGAAAAGGAGAGATGAGATTTTGGACTTCAGTTTTTCTATTCCTGTGTTTACTCTCCATAGCTAGTGATGTCTTAAATAATTTGAGAATTTAAGTTTTGACGATTTAAGTAAAAAAAATGCTTAATTAGGTAAGACGATGTTAAGTCTGAACCTAAACTTTCTGAGAACAACCAAGGAACATACTTCAAAGTCAGAGAATACACAAAGTACACCCAGGCCTAACTTTAAACTGTAGGTTCTCATCAGCTTTCCTGCCTCTGGTATCATTTTAGCAGAGATTAATTTTAGGTTCTGTGACTTAAGGCGTTGTCCTTACTAACAGAGCAGTAGGGTTCTGGATAGCTCACATCCCCATAAGGGACTCTTTTATACCAGCACACACACAAGCGCTGAGAAACTTCACTTATTAAGAAGTGAACCCATTACCAGGGCAAGACAGCAGAGTCAAAGGCTGAGATAAATTAACAAAACAACATGACACTCTATAGCCTGGGCTTTTTGTAAGTCTGAACATCCTCTTCTGGAAAAAATAAAATCCACATTAATTACATATATTTAAAAACAGCTTTACAGCTAAATAAGCCAATTAATAGTTATTTTAATTCCTGTGATTTCTTATTTCTAGAAATACCAGGAATACCAAATTCCATACGGTTATTACAAAAAGGGCAAATTGAATGCTCAGTATCTTAATTTCCCTTTCTCCAGACGTAAATGACAATAGTAGTATGTGGCACACCTACCTTTAATCTAACAAAGTTTATTAGTTTAATGTATCCATAAAAATCAAGTCCTGAAAAGAAAGAGAGGAGGGCGTGAGGAAAAGAGGGACAGCTTATGTTACAGAAAACTGCACACATCTTACAATGATATGAATACTAATTACTTGATCAGTTGGCCAGTTTCCCCTGGAGTTGTACCTCATTCACTAGTGCAGCCTTCCTATCTTAAGTTTGCCATCTGTGTTTTATTTCTCCTTAGGACTAGACCAGGAAACTGTCACCCTCAGGACAAATACATTTGCCACAAATTAAGAATGAAACCCATGAAAACATGGACTATGAACATGGATTTCATTCATACGGCAGGCAACTAATCAGGACAAGCACATTTATCTCCTACTAGACACCCTGCTGGTATTTTAGGCTGTTAAGCCCCTTTGTATTTTTAGCTTTCTGCTTAACAAAATGTAAACTGATCCTACTCATCAGGAAAACAGACCAATATTGATTTAAAACCTTACTCAGAAATAACAGTAGTTTAAACAGCAACCCCCTGCAAATAGATCCTCCTATTTCCACTTTCTTCCTTCAGTCACTACCTTGGCCTAAATACACGACAGCCTTAATTGAAAGCTAACGTTAAACTTCACTTGTAAAGAATGAAACAGAGATTGAAGGGTGTATCTTCCTGTGATCACCTGTGGGAACATAAGCCAAGACTGTAAACAGCATAAAAGGCATCAGCAGTATCAAGGAGACAGTGGGGACTGAGCACAAGCCAGCAGAGATCAATCTTATTTTTGCTACAAGTTGAGAGCTTTACCAAGAGATAAAGCACATGGGAAACTGCCAACATAAAGATAACACATAAGCACTCTCCTACAATAACTTTTCTTGTACAATCATGGAATCTCCAGATACAATGAGGAAGTCAGAACAAACTAATCTTTGCAATTTATTTTAAGCGAGATGCTGGTATGTAGGAGGAAACGACGAGTCATGAAAAATCTTACCATGTTTCTGGATCACATCACAGACATTGAATTCATGCTCTGCTTTGCAGTGGGAAAACACACCTTCAGCAGAAGTAAACAACCTGTAAATAACAAGTTATTACACATGCAGTATTAGCACATTGAGAAGTTGGAACACTTAGAAACGTTTGCTATGCTCTGTTCTGACCTGCTAGGCAACATGTTCAGAACACATCATTTCTGCCTTTGAGAAAGGATGAACATGCACTTGCTCACAAGAAAACTTTTACCTTGTTTGCAAAACATTTTACACCAAAATGTAAGAAATGCAAAAACTCTGTTTGACAAAACCACAAGCACTGTTAACTTTCAAAACCTCCTTAAGTGCAGAGACAGCATTAAAACCAAAATCTAAGAACTGCGCACAGAGTTGGCCAGTGAGATCTGCTGCATCACAATGAAAGTTAACATCTATTTACTGACAATGGGAAAAGACGATGGAGAGAAATCAAGAGAGAAACTTTCACGCTGCTTCTGAGGGAGGAGAGGGGAATTACGTTCTTCCTGTGTCTCTCCCTCCTTTAGCCTGGATTTAATAGCCCTCTGACTGTAGATAGAGGCTACAGCACATGGATATAAACAACCTATTATCCATGTCCGTGACACGGCTGCGCCCGCGGGCCGGTTATGGGCACTCACCCCCCCCGGCTCCTCTCCTTCTCAGGAGATGCACGGGTACCACCGCGCCTCAGGACTCCCCCCTCGACCCAGCGCGGGGATAACGAGCGCACACTGCGGCCCTGGGGTGGCTGCCTAACCTGTCGCAGAAA